CCCAAGTGCGAACGTAATATGTGAATCACCCCTTATCTAAACAGTGTTAGACTTAAAGGGTACAGTAAACTGTTGTATTCATGATTAATTATCATGAGATTCTATAATCTATAAATTATTTTATATTTAGTATATTAGAAACCAGCAAATCATATCAATGCAGACAAAAAAGTGTTTACATTCATAAAAGTATAAATATCGCGAATTAATTATTAAAAATTATTATTTAACAGATTTCTAGTCGAAACACTTGTGACTTATTTGGATGAAAATGAAGTTTTTAATCGTTTGTTCAGTGATTTTGTTTGTAGTCATGTTAGAGACAAAGGCAAAAATGATTGGAGGTCTCCAAGATGTGGACACTAATGATGCAAATTTGGTGCCTATTATTGAATTCACGGAAACAATGCTTAATAGAGGCGTTAACTCTATATACAGCCATAAAATTGGCAAAATATTGAAGGCTCAGAAACAACTGGTGGCCGGAGATAAGTTTTATTTGACATTTGAATTCAACCGAACCAATAGCCCCAAGGGTCAGCCCATCTCCAAAAATTATGAAATAACGGTTTGTCTTATATTTGATTTTTTTCCTAATATGACAGTTTCAATACATATCTAGATAGATTTGTAAACCATTTATATTGAATGAGTAAATATAGTAAAAGTGTACAAGTGTTAGTTTTCAAATAAAATATAAAACTATTTCACATTTTGTTATAGAAAACTGAAATATGTTCAGCTGAAGTATGGTCCCGACCTTGGTTAACTACTACTGACAAATTGCAGCTACTTACATTTAAATGTAATCCCGCCAATTAAATTTAATATAAATTATTCATATTTGTTGTGTATTTTCTTTTAAAAAGTTTTAAAAGACTAACTTTTGAGTAACTTTACCTATATTTTACTGAACCATTATGTAACAATATTGAAATAAATATCAACTGACTTCAATGTTATCCAAATTTACTTTACCTAGTTACTCAGCTTATCAGTGATTTACTATTTATTAGTCACTTATTGTTTAGCAACATAAGTGTTTATTTTTAAAACAATCTTTTTAATTAGAAACCATTGGAATGTAAAAATGATTATAAAGCAAATCATCAAATTTTGACATTTGATTGACTAATGAATTTCCGGTTACATAAAAAACATCCAAATTTCATCCGCTGTTCAATGAATGTTATTATGTAATCGGAAAGTGATTTGCATAATAAATAGACAAAAGATTCAAACAAAAAAATCTTTTTAAAAAAGTTACAAGTTAGTTTTAGAAATACGCTATGGTTTTACGATTTTATAAATCGTTAACACTTTTTACAATTAAGTTTAATTATAATCTGATTTAAATGTAATGCTATATAAGTGAAACACATGAGGGTATAGCTGTGAAAATGAGTGAAAACTATGAGATGTATGACCGGAACCCAAGCCCTTTACGATGAGGTGAGGCTCGCATTCCGTATATATGGAGCGGTGTATGAAATGTAGGAATGAATCGCTTCACTGATAGCGCGGGACAGGCATTGAATGGACGGACAGCACAAGAGCACAACAAATCTCTGGTGTGCTCTCCATTCAATGCAAACTATAGTTAAGCTTAAGTTTCACAAATACAGTGAAAATTAGTGATCGCTATAATGTGCACTCATATCAGGCATTAATGTTACAACTATTTAAACCGCTGTTAATGTTATATGAGGCTTAAGCATTGTTCATCGAGATCCAGGTGTGAAACAGCAAAACATGGGAAATGATTTGAGTCTGTGTTCACTGACTAACAATTGACAACAAATTTCATTAAATAATATGTACTGAATATGGATGCGATTTATGAGCGAATCTGTAATTAACATAAAATAGCGAATTATTGTATTCTATAGGCTTTGATGGCAGTGAACAATGCATTTTACAATCAACTCATTTCACATGAATCGCATCCATTTCATTGATTTTTATGTTTTTAGTCATACTATTACTAAATTTATTACTTGCTACTTTCGGTTTGAGTCCATGAGTAGTTAATCGCATTATAAATATTATATCTATAAATTAAAATTAATGTAATAAAATTAAAAGTTGCTAAAATAAACATTAATTTATTAAAAATTTTAACCATGAATGATTAATTGCTTTTATTTTAAATTACCTATTTGAAAAGTTATAGCTATTTACCGAGATCTTTTTGTAGATAATATGATTGTGCAAATCATTCCTATATTAGTGGATGTGATCATCATTTTATGATTTGATTCTCTATTCTGTTCATCAATGTCCAGGTGAAGCCATTCTCACAGCAATCAAAAGTTTGATACAAATAAAAAATTATAGGTTAGAATAGGTTGGCATCCAATGTATATACAATATGACACAATTCTAAAGTTAGACAATAAAATACAGACAAATTCTGTAATTTTACATTTTAAAGCGATTTATTTTTTTGCAAAGAATAACATGAAATGAATCACTTTTATTGCAATTGAATGAATAGTATGTTTAAAGATGTTTGGTTATTAACTTGTTTTCTTTATTTGAACACAATTTCATATTTTAATTTTTCATTTGATATTTGTGAAAGTTTATGATTTTATGAACTAGTAAATTTTTAAAAATATATTCATGTTCATTTAACTTTTAATCTTAATGTAAATTAGTGTACATAAAGAATAGGAAGTTTAGTGAAAAGTTTATAAGAATAACATAAAATGAATAAGATTATTCTTTGAACTTATTTGAATTAAAATATTATATAGCAGACATAATAAGGATTTGAAATAAAATTCTGTTCAAAAAGCTTACATAAAATAGGAGTGGATATTTATTTATAGCAGGAATCGACTATAAGTGGAGTAAAATTATATTTTGCTTACGGAGTAAATGTTATTAAATATATTGGATATCAAATCAATGGTTCGCACGCAAAGGCAACTGAGGGTCAGAATTGCATCAATTTTGATCTCAATATAATATTCCCAATACTTCAGGTGCTTTAAATCTCACAAATGTGCCAGTTTATTAACTCTAAAGGGGATGTGGCGGTCAATCAGGACTACTACTCTGTGCCCTCACTGTCTGCTCCATCACTACTCATCCCTGTCTGACATTTTCATAATTTTTTATATGTATTTTGTTTTCTATGAAAACCACACAAAACATCCCATTCCCAATCATTGTTTTCTATATGTTTATATCCATCCAATACTTCTAATAGAAATTAATGAACATATGTTTCGCAAATATATAGTTTTTCCGTGGTTAACGATTAATCAAATAAACTTCCCAAATATTGCACAACAATAACATTTAATTTAATTTAATATAAATTTTTTCTATTACTATTCATTACCGGTAATAAATTTTTTGGTACAAATAAATACAGTAGTGTGCATAATATATCTTAAGATTGCATGTCTCGTAAGCAAAATATTTTTTGAGAGATACGGCTGACAAAAATAATGACAGGTTTTGGTTTACATAACTTTCCTTTCATTGGAATCAAATAAAATTTAAAATAAGATTTAGAATAAAATATTCTTTATATAATGACTGCTTTTTATGTTAGTATTATATTATTTTCATCATTTCAATCAAGAATCTTATCAAATAATCTATTATAAAATAAAATTCTTTAAATTTATATATTGAATTCACTAATAATTTATTACCATTACAAATCTTTATTAAATTTTTAAAATATGGTTTCAATATGTTTAAACAAATATTATATTATTAGTTATAATAAGTTATTAATTCATTTAGCAAATAATAACACAATCTATAAAATCATTAAATATTAAATTAACAACTGATTGCAATAATAATGCTATAATTATGGTATTTAGCAAACAATTAAAAAACTAAGTCTTAATCCCAACACAATCTCATGACTAACACCCAAATGGAGAGAACAAACGCCAGCCCCACAGCACAGGGATCATCATCCCTATCATACACCACTCTACCAGGTATAGTATGGTATGGTATGTGGTGTGCGATGGAGTGCACCGTCACTCACATGGAGGACCACCTGCTCTCTACATAATTATAACTGTTGTAATGCCTAACAATACGCTCCTCCCAGTCCTCCCAGTGATCTTCGAGTAGAGCTAATCGAATCACTGAATCAATGAACGATACCATCGTTTCTCCACGAGATATAAATCAAGAGTTATGCGATGAGCACCGGTATTACTCGCTAACAATCATGCTGAACACCGATATGAGCGGTCACTGCGATCCCAGTGCAGATCAAACTGCTTTCCAGCCCTACCTTCTCAATGAAAATGAAGACAACAAAAGTGTTAAAACAGTCAAAACTGTCTCCAACTCCAGACTCAACGAACACACCATCGAAAAGCTTCTCAACTCTCCGTCGACCTCCTCGTCAAGTATGTCACCCCTCACCACAACTAATCCATTGCCATCATCTGTGGTCTTAAGTCAATTCAGCAAATCTCAGCTCCCCATCGATATCATAGCCCAGACATTATGGTTACAACACCAGCAGTTGCACCACAAACTGAACTCAACTAATAATCTAGCACTATTTAGTTCTCAAAATTCTGGGCTTTTAACAAATAACTCATCACCAATTTGTAAGTCTATTTAAGTTTTCAATTTTAATGTAATTATATTTCTAATCAAAATCTTTTAAAGTTAAAAATTTGCTTGACTTGATTTCTAAACTATTGAAAATTAAAGATAAGAAAATTACAAATAAAGACGATATTAATATTGAAATAGTTTAATGCTAACAAAACACTTGCGGAAACCTTTTGTTAGCAAGATAAAAGCGATACAGTAGTGGTCGTGTGCCAGCATTTAATGCCTGGCCGCAGACTTTTATCTAACTTATTAAATTGAAATCAGTTTTACTTTTTTTATTTACTAATATTTTCCAATCATATTTTTATAATCCAAAAGCATATCAATATATTTTTGAATAGAATTATTGTATTGATTTAATGGCAATAAATAGTAATCTTATGATTGAAATTAGTTTTGCAACAAAAGCTTTAAACGGAAAAAGTTTGCGCTTTTCGTTGCGCTCTATTGGAGCCAAAGATGATAACAGAGTGATAGTGAGGGTATAGTAGAGGTAATGGTGGTAATACTGGTGGTAATAGTGATGATACCTTTGCTTTTACTTTCGCTTCCGTTGAGGAACGTGTAGTTTAGGGACGCTTTCAAAGCCCATAGCCTTAAGGCAAACGTGTATCGCACGCGCCTATACTGGCAGCGCTTTAAATGTTTCCGGTGCTCTAATTTGCAAGATTTCACTCACTCTGAGGTATTTCCGGCTCTGATTTACTTTAAACACTATAATAAGCATCTGTTGAAACGTTTCAATAATTAATAACTATTCAAATGAATCCCTCTTTTGTTTGTCTTCAGTGGCTCTCAAATCACTGGAAACTCTGATTTGCAAAGCAATTGCTTTTAAATTATTGTTATTTATTGCTTGAAAATAATCGGATATACAAATGATTTGTACTTTTTCTAATTTAATTTACGACCAAAAGTGAGCCAAAGTCCGGCACAGTTGCGGAGATATCTATTACCACAACAGCGCCAAAATCGCGGACCACGGCGTCAGAGGACAACCTTCACACACGAACAGACACTCCGACTTGAGATGGAATACCACGTGAGTGAATATATCACAAGAGGGAAACGCTTTCAATTGGCCGAACTGCTCGACTTAAGTGAGAATCAGATCAAGATTTGGTTTCAAAACAGACGGGCGAAAGACAAACGCATCGAGAAAGCCATCGTTGAACAGCAATATAGGTCTGTATTCATCACCATTTCATCACAGCATCCAATGAGCTCTCAATCCCTTCCATTGCTTTTCATACAGATATCTGTCGAGTCCCACATTCACCCAACACTTGAATGTGTCCAACTGCTCCACTTGTAATTATACTAAACAACAGTTTACTAGTGATTCACCAAATTAATTGCCAATCAGTTTACATACAGTACAATAACTACCTCACAGACGATCCTGGTATGAGATCATAGTCTAGTTCTCTATGTTTTAAATATACCTCTTTCATTTATAAGTTATATATTATAACATTTTATTTATAGAATATTACTTATTGTTTTATAATTTTTTATCGAATCTTGCTATTATTAAATAATATTTCCATTAATTTTAATATTAAAGCATTATATTTTATGAAATTATACTTGCTTATTTAGAGAGTTATAAATATAACTGATAAATCAATTCAATATGATTATAAATTAAGCAATTAGTATTTCTTTAGACTTAATAAAATGTATAATGAAATTAATTGCCTATTGTACAATATTATTATGAACTCCAAATAAACATAATCCTTCTAACTAATAAAGCTTATAAATTTTTTTATTGTAATAACACCATAAATACTACTTTAATGATAGTTAAGTGTGAAAAAGCAATTTATTACTATGAAATGTCAAGAGTTGGATTAAAATATAATCGTTTTATTTAAAAAACTGTGTGTTTTATGTAAAAACAATATTTCATATCAAACTTTTTGACACTTATTGTCATTTTAAATAGCAATAACAGTATAATAATAACAATTGTTATAATAGAGTGTAAGCGCAGGTGAATTCCTAGCAATACTGAGCAATGGGCACAAAGTCAGTGATTATGTAATAAATGAGATAAAATCAAAGTATTTATATAATGGATGCTGAATGTGAGACTTACTGATAATCCTCAGTTAAAATATAACTTTTATTAGGGATCGGGTGGGACAGGTGCTAAGTAAAGTGATGTCTATATGTTATATAACACTTATGCTACCATTATATGAATATTATCATTATTATCACAAATCATACCATTTGCACGCAATTTCCTTTTAACTCAAACTATTTGTCTTTAGTTATTGTTTTCCTCTTAAAACTGACATTTGTTTGAATGGAAAACAATTCAATTGATGAATATATTTATAATTTAATAAAAATTGTTTCAAATAATTTTAAATTACGTTTATGATAATGATTCCACCAATGGAAAATCAATATACTATTAATTTTAATTACTAAAATTTTTTAATGTAATATAATATTTAATTAAAAGAGTAACGTAAGATTTCTTTTCTGTAGCTCTTATAATATTTACATTAAGTTATTACTGTATTAAGTTATATAATGTTATACAGTATCATAAAAAAATAATTCTTAACAATCTTGGGGCCATTTGAATTTGATAATGGCTAATACATGTTATTTTATGGGAAAATGACATTACTTTCCTAACTGTTAAAGGTATCCCAATGCAGTCAGTAGTCCGGTAACTGTAATGACTGAATTGGTGATAATGGACCGGTAACTGACCCATGTGCTGTTAAGCTGAATACCTCCCTCACCCAACACTGGGACACTACTTATCATTAATATTAGATACTAAATGCCATAATATTAAGATCCCAGACGTGTGTCCAGTAATAAAGTTCATATTCTAGAATCTAGATAAAGTACGGTATATGCCATTTAAGCCATCTAAATTAAAATATACAAAAATGCTCAACTTTAATTATGAAAACATTTTATTAATAAGAATTTAATTGTTTAGATCTGTCATTACATTTGAGGAATAAGTATCCAAATAATTAATAGAAATATCTAATTAAAAATTACTGGTAAATGAATTAACATTTGTAGAAAACCAAAAATTTGGTCATACGCTACTTTTATAAAGTACAGATGTGTTAGTAAAATATTAATATAATTTTCTGCAATTATATTCTGTGTTTTATATGGGAGTATATTAACTAAAATTATTAATAAAAGTATTAATTAATAAAGTTTCCAATATTTTTAATTAATCAATGTTTCTTATCTATGAACCACTTTAGATACTTTTGCACAATAAAAATATAACAAATTATTGTATTTATGATAAATAAGTTATATTTATTGAAAGTTACAATATATTATGTAACTTAATTAATAATGAAATAGTCACAAACCTTTCTGTAAATATTAATTACTTATTAATTCAGTACAGGTAGTATTTCTTATAAACCATTTACTTTAAATATATAATTTACACACAAATAATTGAACACAATTAAAATTTATTTTATATAATATAATTGGTCTTTACTGAACCTAAACTTTAACAATAAAGTAACTGGGTATTAATAAAAACCAAATTAATTATAATTGTGGCTATTTCTTGCTTCAACGGCCCAATAGTCCACCGGCACCACCACCGCCGCCACCACAACCCAATCCTCCAAGTAGTCCCATAACAGATGAAAGTAGGTTGGTCACTATTGATAGCACACCTCCTATACCCCCTGCGTCTCCTAAAGGAGGCACGTTTGCCACCACTCCAGTCACAGTTCCCGACAATCCGTCAATGGGTAGACCAGTTCCCGATAATCCTGGAAGGCCACCACCACCAGTAGCAGAAGCACTATCACCACCACCACCTAATCCACCTAATCCGCCACCACCTCTACCACCTCCAGCACCACCACCTCCACCAGCTAATCCACCTAGTCCACCTAGTCCACCTAATCCACCCAATGCACCTAATCCGCCACCACCTCCATCACCGCCACCTCCTAATAGATTTCCGATTAGAGGGTATGCCGTTATGTTTGTTATTAAAAATGATATTATTATGAGACCATTAAACCGTAAACTTATTAATTTCATGGTGAACCTAAAATTGGTGGTAAAATTGATATGAAATTGATTTTACACAAACATAATTTAAGATGACATACATTAATTTAGTGTTCAACGATTGAAAATCCATTGACCATATTATAGCTCATAAACAGATGGATTCCTGTAATGAGTTTATTTAATTAATTATGTTTAGTATATTCATAAATATTGGCAATTATTTTATTTTAACAAATTCAAGTTTTTTGTGAAATTAATTTTTTATGTCAAAATTTATTTACAACATTTAAAATACTTATTTTTGTAAACATGCTCATAAATATTTTAATTTTGGTTTATTTTATAATTTAGTATAAAATATTACAACATAATACAGTTATAAATTATTATATAAAACAGTATAAACAAGAATAAATAATGTTAAGTATAAATATATAATTGTTCAGTTATTTTTAAAATATTTTATTACAAAATCAATAGTGTATACAATATTTAAAAAATTATTCACTGTGTTAGTTAATAATTACAAAAAAGATTCATTAGTTTCGACAACCACTACAAACGGCTTGAATGCATACAACTACAAACCCATTAATAAAACATTTGAGACATAAGTCAACGCATAAGAATGAGCCACAAATGACACAACAATCCTCACAATTAGTTCGGTCTCGAAGTGATTCTTCATTCACTTCACTCACACTTTCGTTGTCAGTATCTGAACTGAATGTCCCGAAACTGCTTTTCGGCTCACATGTGATGCCATTCCTGTCTAAAGTTGGTTCACATTCTTCATTAGTATTGTTTTGATTTGTTTCAGACATTTTCGATGTTGTCATAAGTGATTCTTATCGATTGTCAAGCCAGTGTTATTTTTTATTATCCAGATAATAGAGTTCTAAGTGCTTGTAAGTGCATAAATAAAATTATAAGAGTAAATGAACTACAATATAGTAACTGGTTGTTGTTGTTGGTTAAGTTAATTTATATAATATATCTGTATATCACCTTAATAAAGTTATTTGAATCACGTGTACTTTGCATTCAATGAGTTGTCATTAATTTGTCAAACAACAGCTAAAAATTTGATTACACATTCAACATGAAATTTACAGTGCATTTGGTACAGTGTTTTTAAAACAAATACCATATATGATACAAATAGTATATCCGTCACTTGTTTAGATTATAAATATTGCAATTAAATAGAAATTATAGCAATAACATTAGATATAAATACATTAGTAAATAAAATAAATTATAATTTAAGAACTGATCATTATAGTTTTAAGTTTCAAGAATTTACAAATTAAAAATAACTACGAGACAATTTTAAATATTTGTGGTTTTTAAATTTTATCGATATTAATTTTCGATTTGTTTAGACAAGATATTTCCGAATAATTTTTGGTTTATATTTTAAGTTTACTAATTTAATATTCAATGCTATATTTAATTTTAATATTTTAGTTAAATAATTAAATTATTAGTCACCTATGTTAAGATAATCATTGTAAATGTTTATATTATTTTTGAAATCGTAATATTCTGTAATTTATAAAAATGCAATAAGCAATGTAAGTTTAAAATTAGTACAGAAAAAACAAAATGTGTGCAAACAATCAATTATGAAATTGTGTACTGAACTGGTACCATTGAAATTCTATCTCGTTTTCAGATTTGTCTGAAATATTTGTCATTTCAGCCTTCAATTGCATAAATGTACAAATAAATTATTCATCATTTTTGCTATAAATATAAATATCATTTCGATTCTTACGATTAGTTTACGACATAGCTTTGAACTATTAAAACAAACCCTATCGTTTAAATTAAAATAAATTAAAGCACCATGCTTAAATCAATTGTTTTAATTAGTTTGTGTGGACTAGTGTTGGCCCACTATAGTGATGATGAAGAGCACCAACAACTGCATAAATTGGCCGCCGATATCATGCAAAAGTAGTTGCCTTTAAGTTATATAATATAACATTAATTTCATAATTTATTATAATTTTTGTCAAAAATAGTCTACAGAAAGATCATATGCCAGGTGAGGGATCAAACAGTGGTGCCCCCAACGCACCCATTCATCACTTGCATAATATCGGCAAAAACGCTATGAATTCAGACTTTATTCAAAAGACGGATAAATTGAAGGTTTCGGTGGGCGTTAAAGGCATTAAGTTTGTGTCGGTTGAGGCTAATGGCAAAGTGGTGAACATCAGCACCGGTTTTGGTGTCGGAGCCGTTGCTCTCTATTCGGTGCAAACGGATGACAACCATTTGATGCGTTACTATAACTCT